TTTTTTAAAGAATAAGTGCATTATAGTCATAAAATGTTATTAATTCTATCATTCTAACATTGTTTAAAGATTTGATTTCTACATTTTGAACATGCAAATTCGGATAATTTAGTGTGATATTCTCCCATACAGCTCTCCTGTATCCATGTAGTTGCAGATTTATTGTAGAACTTGATCTTTTTCTGTAGCTTTTTCCATGCATTTTTATTTCATGCCACATCTTCCCACTTTGTTCTACCCCTCAGTCACTTTACTTTACTTGTTTCTGCAACTTTCTGCTGCTGTGACGTTTTAATTTCTCAAATCTAATAAAACTGTAAATTACAAGTTAGTGCTCTTTACTGGATGCTGTCAGTTTACTTTATACTTCAGTCAGTGCTGAACACAATTGACTTTAAACACTGAGCCTGGTTTGTTCCCCGAAGTTCCAAATGCACTGTGCCTCTGTCTTTTATTAATAGAGGAAAGAGGAAGAAAGAAAAAAAAAAGCATGCTTGTCTATTAAATTAACTCCTTAATTGGCTGAAATAAAAGTCTGGTTTGATATCCTCCTATGATATAAAACTAAAAATACAGTTAAGAATGGAACATAAAAACAAGTGACCCAAGGGCAGACGTGGTCCATTGTCAATGAATAAATTATGTGCAGGAGCACAATCATGCTGAAGAGCTTTAGAGGCTTTTTTTCCCTCTTCAACCTGTAACCTTTCTTTTCACTCGGGCAGACTAAAATGTCAAATCTGCTGGGACGTCAGAGCCACAGACGGCCGCTGCTTTACTGGTAAACACACAGACGACTAAAAGCAGGTTTTCTTTTCACATCCACCAAAAGGTTACACTGTTGACGCAGGTCATGTGAGCCGATGCTGGTGACCATCTGACTATCTCCATGTGATGCTGTTTAAACAAGCCGGGGAAAAAACGGGTTGAGAATGTTTGTGTAAGTATTTAAAATGGGCCGAGTTACACATTTTTTAAAAAAGTAAATCTGAATTAACACCTTTAAGGAATCTGATTAATGACTCAAGAACTAACTTCTTGCTTTATTTGTCTTCACCAACTTGAACGTGACCAAACAGGTCAACGTAAATGATCTTACTTGGGATGCACGATGTTTTGTTAAAATCAAAAACTGACCGTATTTCCCAACTTATTTTGGTGAATAACAACAAATGCGGACATTTATTGCAGATCTGTCCTGTGGTGGAATGAAGACATTGTTATACCTCCTCGTGATCACTGACTGGCAGATGCAGACATAATATAGTGGTATTCAAATACGCACAGATGCTTCACCTGCCATTGTTTTTCTAATCTCCTTTATTTATACTATAGGCTTTTACAAATACTGTAAAACTTTCACTTATACTGTACACTTCTACTTATACTATACACTTTTACTTACACCACTGCTATACTTACACTGTACTTATACTATACACTTTCACCTATACTATGCTGTACTATACCACATTATGCTATACTTACTCTATGCTATGCTTTACCATATTATACGACACTATACTATGCTATGTTATGCTATACTTTACTACGCTATGCTATGCTACATTATACTATAATATAGTGCAGCACTACTATACTTTACATATACTTATACTATGTCATGTGACTATACTATGCTATACTATGCTATACTATACTATACTTAAACTGTACTATGCGACATTACACTATACTATGCTCACTCTAGGCTATGCTTTACCATGCTATGCTATGCTATGCTATGCTATGCAACAATGCACTATACTATGCTTACTGTAGGCTCTTCTTTACCACACTATGCTATGTTATGCTGAAGTGAACGATACTATGGTACACTACACAATACTATGCTTTCTCTAGGCTATGCTTTACCATGCTATGCTATGCTATGCTATGCTATGCTATACTTATACTATGCTACACTATGCTATACTATGCTTACTCTAGGCTGTGCTTTACCATGCTATGCTATGCTATACCATACTATACTATGCTATGCTATGCCATGCCATACTATGTTCAAGTGCACTATACTATGCTTACTCTAGGCTATGCTTTGCTGTACTATGCTATGCTATGATATACTATGCTGTGCTATACTTATATTGTACTATGCTACACTACACTATGCTATGCTTACTGTAGGCTATGGTTTGCCAGCTATGTTAAACTATGCTAATATGACACTTATTCTATACTATGCAATGCTTTACTAATAATATACTAGACTCTACGTCACCGTACTTAGACTGTGCTTACACGACCATACTTGCTCTTATACTTAGGCTCTACTCTACTCTACTATACTCTACTGTACCTGTACCATGCTGTACTATAACTACACCGGTTTGCTTCATTGTCCTTCTTCTGTTTATTCAGCATCTAGTTTTAAAAGTTTTTGAGAACTACATTAAACACACTTAAAAAAAGTTCCTTCATCTGCTTCCTCGCCGCGTTATACTGAAGCTTTACTGAAGTTACATATACTAGTGATGTTAAGCTGAATGGGGGAAAGTAACAGCATTTACTCATGTAATAAACTTGTGTATTTCCGTCTACTGTACACTTTTAATGTATTACACTTCAGAGAGAAATAATGTACTTTTTACTCCACATTTAATAACATAACTTTAGCCAGGTTAACAATAGCAATGTAACCAACAAATACTAGAAACTCTATTGATTATTGACTGATCCTGGAGTGGAAAAGGCCACATATTGACTAGTTTACACACTAAAACTGACCTAATGCATGTTTTTTCCCTCCTGAAATATCATTATCGACTTGACCTAAATGATGCAGCTGGATTAGTTGTGGATTTAATATGCAGAAATGATGTGTTTACATGTCGTGTCAAAACCTGCTGAATGAAATGGAGCGATTTGATAGCTGAAGTGCGTTTTATCCGTGATTAAGGTGAGCTGAGTGGAGGAAAGAACAGAGCAGTGCGTATTTGAGAACGTTTTAATATCCATGTTGTTCATCACACGTACACAGTCACAACTTGAGTGAATATTTACAGTGTTTGCTTTGTACAAATCTGAAGATGTCCTACTAAGAACAAATATTCACAACAGAAGATTTAGAAACATCCAAAAAATAATAATAATACATGATAGTGTACAAGTTTATTTTACATCTAATTCAAGCTCACGACAGCAAAATTACAGCCTTTCAGCGAGGGTCTGCACTGTGGGTCAACAAACGAGAAACCAGCCGAGAACAAACTTGTGCTAGAAAATGAAAAAAAAGAGAGAGAGAATTTGACATCTGATCTCTCACTACAACATCTTCTCCTCTCTCTCCCATGGAACCGGATCCTGCTCCTCTTCGACGTGCGTATTCCTGCGCCCTGTCCAAAAGTGCTCCACATCTGGGAACGTCTTCTCCTGCGCGTTAACGACGGCGTTGGCTCCGACCTCCGCTCCGTTGCCCTCCGTTTTCGGACACTGTTTGTTCGGGACGCGCTTTTTGCTCCTGCAGGTGGCGACGAACCAGATGTGGATCAGCCCTTGGCGCACGTCTTCGTACATGGTCATGAGGATAACCGGCGACAGGGAGCTGCATGCGTAAAGGAGGACCTGGCCGAAGATGAGCAGCCCCACAGGAGGCCTGACGTAGCCGAGTCGGATCCAGGTGAACGTCCCCCACTCCGGCAGCAGCAGCAGCCCCAGCGCGCCACTCAGACACAGTAAAACCAGGATCACCTTGCTCTGGTGCTGCGGGCTCGGTGCGTGGTTCACCGCAGCGTGCAGCATCTTGGTGTAGTAGGCCACCGTGAAGATGGCCGGCACCACGAAGGTTGCAGTTGGATAAATCTTGTAGAACAAACTCATGAAGTCAGACGCGCACACTGGCATCTCGGAGACGCAAATAGTGTCCCGGCCGTGTTGCACCAAAGAGGCGAAGAGCAGCTGAGGGATGGGAAACATCATGGACACTATCCAAATGAACGCCAGGGCTCCGTGGATCCACGTCGGGCTGTAGAAGGGCCCCGTGGCGGTGCTGGGGACCAGGGTGTGCTTGGCTCTGGTGGTGGCGGCGAGGATTAAAGTTTTTGCAATTACGCACGAGTGCTGGAACCAGTCCGTGGTGGTGCACACGAAACTCCCCAGGGTCCAGCTCTGCTTGTAGTAGGTGACTGCGCGCACCGGGGCGCACAGCAGCAGGATCATCAAGTCCGTGGACGCCAGAGAGGCGAGCAGCGCCTTCACCTCGGAGCCTCTGCCGCTCCTGAAGTCGCGGATGAAAATCAGCAAAACGAGCAAATTCCCAACCGCTCCGGAGACGCAGATCCCGATGAGGATGACGGGAACCGCTGTCCTGGTGTCCTCCCCCTGGAGAAGTTGGACTCCTCCGATGAAATCAAAGAAGGAGACATTTGCCGGTCGGTTAATATCCATCTCTTCCCTCCTGTGACTTGTTTAAAAGCTCCTTAAAGTGAGGAAACAGCAGCGAAATTCTCCGTCTGGCTCACCGTCCTGCAGAGAGAAGCTGTCCGGCGCGCCGCGGTGCTGAAACGCAGCTAATGGGGTCGTGATCGCATCAGCAAGTGGGTGAGCAGGCTGGCAGGTAGACTATTTCAAGTGCTGCCATTTAGCATCGTCAACCACTCACGTCACTTTATCAGTGTGGCTCCGGGCTGCAGCCAGTCCAAATGTGAGCGCAGCGTGATGCGGTTTCCATCCACGACCTCAGAGGGAGGCTGCGGTGCGCCACGAACGAGGAGCCCAGCAAGTCATCTGACCCTCTCTGCACATCTGATAATTAGCCTAAATCTCTTTAAGTTCAAAGGAAATACAAATCAAACATGCAAAACAGGCTGTGACTGTAAGTGGAGTCACCAACAAGCAAATAATTGTTATAATTATCTCATTATGTTCCAATAATATAAACATGAAACGACACAAAAGAGGAAGTCTCTTTTGAAAACTATAAAATAATACCTTTAGTTTGTCTACAGGACCTCAAACAGTTGCACATTTCCTCTTTCAAGCTTCTCATCAAACGTAATAGACTTAGTTTAAGGGATTACTTTTGCTTTATTACCAATTGCATTACTCCTCCTTTCTTTCTGTTTCTCTTCCACCCTTTATTATGTAACTATTGGATTACTGGTAAAAAGTCACTTACTGCTCCATGGATTCGTTCTAAGCAGGGCTGAGTTGTAACGGATTACATGTAATCTGTATAATCAGATTACAAAATGCTGTGATCAGATCAGATTACAATGGGGATAAAAGTGCAGTTAGATTATAAATATTACTTGATTGCATTGTGTGCTAAATATGGCAATTTTTTAAATCATGAATTGTTTCTTTACCATAATCGGTACAGCTGTAGTTTGTCGAAGTGCTGTTTTTTGTTTTTTGTTTTACATTTATTTTTGCATTGGAAATGTTTTGAGATGTTTAAAAAGAAAAAAAATTCACGTGGGACAAAAAAAATGTTTTTTTTGTGTAAGTTGCAATTTTCTTGTGGATTTTTTACTAAGTAATCCAAAAATATTCAATTTTTTTGTGATCTAATGGATTACTAATTACAATATTTGCCATAGAATTTGTATTTAGTAACTAATTAATTATATTTTAAAGTAAAAACTGGTTGTAAGTCTATAACCACAAAACTTTGGGGACAGCCAAGTCATCAATTTTTATACAGCACATTTTAGACATCAGCCGTTACACCAAAGTAATCTAGTAATTCTTGTGAAAAAAAGAGTACGATTGGCATCACAAAGTTTAAATATTGGGGTTAAGACTCTTTAGTGTTATTTATGGTGTGATTATTACCAGAGAAATGTACATATTAGAGATTAAAGCCTTTTAAAAATGATGTAAAATACTACTTTAGCTGACTATAATAAATATTAAGAATTAGACTCTATAGTGTTTATTAATTATGGAAAATAACTTCAGTAATTTAATTCTATAGCTTTCAATACTGTAAATTGCAAAACATAACCAAAATGATATAAATATTTAAATAAACCTAGAGCTAGCCTAATTATCAATCTGTATGATAAACTGTTAATATAATCTTGTTTTTATTTATGTACGTGTTTAGTAAGAGATATCTCTGAAGACATTTAATAACAGAGTCTATATTAGGTGTTTTGTCCATCAGAGATCAATGTCAAGTTTATTTCTTAATGTTAAATCATCTGTTCCCTGCAGTTCTTAAACAACTAAGTTTAAGGATTATATTTGTTACGCCTTTACGCCGATGACACACTCATTTACCTGCAACCTCTGTTACATTCAACTAATCTGTCTGCATGTGCTGAAGTGCTGGTCGGCCAAAAACTATCTCACTTGGGGTCATTTTTAGCCAAAATTCAGGCTCATGCATGAATTTCGATGTCTTCCTTTACCCAACAATGACATTTGAGAGACAGATTTGTTCGTCCTCAATTAAACACATTGACTTATTTGTCTGATTGACTGCATTAATCTCCTCAAAGTTAGATGTCTCTTTACCTGGCGTTATCCAGTCCTCTCATCTGCTATGATTCCTTACTGGCTCCAGAAAAACCTGTGATAGCATCTATATATCGGCAGAATCAATTTAAACATTGCGTTATTAGTTTAAAAAGCCTCCTCTGCTCCTACTCCACCTCCGAGCCTCTTAGATCTGTAGAGAGGCTGATCAGTTTGAAGAAAAATCTAAAGATGTGTTTGTTTTCTTTGGTTTTTGGTTGCTCTTGTTGGTTTTATTACTTTAGATATTTTAATTTTAGAAATCGATCTTACAGTTAAGAAAACACACGGGTTAAGAATCAGAGGTAGGGATCTAAATTTCAGCAGCCACACTGATATGTAAACTAAGTTCTCATTCTGGCATCTTACAAACAAACTGAGAAACTGTAATTCATACTTTTATTACCTGTAGACTGAACTACTTCTGAAGAACAGCAAAAGATATTTGCAACCCAGTCCTATACTGATGAAAACCAGGAACAGAGAACACGTTACTCCATTTCTTTGATCCTTTCACATATAGAATTGAATTTGTTACGATTTATTGTCTTTAAGTCTCTGAATGGGCAGGAACCAAAATATATCAGAGATGTGTTTGCTGAAGGCTGGAAAGTCTCTAAAATCTGCAGGTCAGTCAGTGGAGTTCAGACCAGACCAGGTGAAATGGTGTTTAGTCATTATTCTGCTGGAAACCGCTCTGTTTGGACCTTAGATTGGCCCCAAAATATCCAATTTTAAACTAAAAAATGTTCTTTTTTTTTCAGTGTTTTTAGCTGAACGTGTCTGTATTTTTATTCACTGAATTGTAATTAGTTTCTTTACTTCTTTATTGCACAGTTTCTTTTTTCAATGCTTTTATTTTTCTCATATCTTGTCTTTCTTTTTAAAAAAATCTATTTTAGTTAAACTGTTTTAATTGTTCTGTGAATCTGTGTGCACTTGATCCAACTTGTCTGTTTGATTCAAGTAATTTTTTAACTTAATTTTTATTATGTGTTTTATTTTATTTTATTGTTTAAATGTATGCCCACAAAGCACTTTGAATAACCTCTATCAATGACATGCTGCTTTTTAAATAAACTTGCTTGCTTTTGTGTTTCTATCCTGTTTTGCCTCGTGTTTTATTAGATTTTAAAAGTTTTACACTGTTTTCAGTCTTGCTTTTTTGTATTTATTTTTGCAGTTTCCTGTCTTGTACTGCACTTTGCTGAACCCAGGTTGTTGTAAAACATGCTCTAAATCAACTTCAGTTGACTTTATGTGTTAAAAAATGTTCATTTCTGATATTTATGTAAAAAAAATTATCCATAATAACTAAAGAAATGTGAGATTTTTTTTTATTGTTGGTCTCAAAAATCTAGCTTTGAGAGCAACTAGTCAGCACACTGGGGAAACGGCTCATCAAAATCCACAACTTTTACATTTACAATTTATTAATATCTAATAATGCTGCATGCTCAGTGACTTATTAGAAAGTAATGAGCGTCTATTAATATGTGAGCAACATTACAAACAAACGGACGCAACTTTAAATTAACTCGTGGCGTGCAGCTCATTTCTATGTAACTCAGATGATAGTAAATAGTGAGTCCACAGCCTGCAGTGACTGACTTTGTGATGATACGGAAAATAAAACAGCATCAAACGTGATTCAAATGTGAATGAGCGAAGTGGAAATTCACACGGTGACCCTGATACTCGAGTGCACGAAGCAAAGCGAGGTGTGTTTACTTGACTCGAGCAGCATCCGGACGGTGAAGGCGAGGGAGGAAGGGTGATGATGGTGGAGGGGTGAGGGTGCCCACTCAAATGCTGTCACCTCCTCTAAGAGTGCCGGTTGCTAGGAGACGGCTGCTACCGTCACAGTATGGGGTTAGGAAGATGTGAGGCGTCATGAAGTAGTGTGAGATATGGATGGATGGATGGATGGATGGATGGATGGATGGAGGAGACTGTGAGGGAGCTTCAGACAGAATGAATGAATGAATACTTACAACGGTGTGATTGCAGAGGAGGGGGGATAAAAACTGCTCCGGTGGTATTTAGAGAGATGATATAATGGCACAAGCAGGGGAGCCGCCCTCACGGTGTGCAGTAATCAGCGATGATTGGTGTGTATCGGACTGTGCGAAGCCAAGAATATGTCTCAGCTCTGACTGATTTAAACTCAGTGTAAAGTGAGTGTTCGCTCAAATCTGCAGTTCTTTGAGATGCAAGAGAGTTGCAAGTGTATTTTCATTGGTAACGAGGATGAACTTTAGTTGTAAAGCACGTTTTATGTAAAGATGCAAAATCCAAAAATATGTGTTAAAAAATGGTGGTACTACTAGTATCTTAGATTTATTAATTTTACAAGTTTCATCGTGCATTATTGCACATATATTTGTTGTTGCCTGTTTTATAGCATGTATAGCACTTTGCATGCTGATTTAAAATGTGATACGAATAAACATGAATATGCTTGACTGGCTAAAAATGTTTATTTTTGATGTTTATGTGTAAAAAACAACAAGTAATTGATACAGCATTATCAGCTTCTTCAATTATTGGTCAATAGAATTAAGCATCGAGAGCAACTAGTCACACGTTGGAATGTCTTCATCAAATATGTCACTTTTAATTTATTTAGTTAATAAAGAAGAACTCCCCAATGAGATGTTGCTGCGGAGATTCTGGTCCAGAATCTGTAACTTTTAATATTTTTTTTTTCTGTGAAAATAAATGCAAGTATCTGTAAAATAATGATGATTTAAATGCAGCATAATTTTATGGTCACAGAGACACAGACACAGCTCACACTCACACCTGCAGCCAATTCAGATTCACCAATTAACCCAGCAGGAATATCTTTAGACTGTGAAGCCCCGAGAGAAAACCCACGCAGGCACAAGGAGAGCATGCAAACTCCACATAAAAAGACTCCA